CCGATATTATTATTATTATCTTTAAAATTGATACCGTGGCAGAAATCAGTGTCTATTCTCGGAATTCAAGATGAGCACAAAACATATAAATCTACAAACTTAAATGTCACATCAACAGCCACCTACGATCATGGGTCCTATACACTTAATCGACGTTTCACAGGATATTCACTGCGACCGCAGTAGCATTTGCCATCATCGGTATGGACATCCTCAGGCATTTCGATCTCTTGGTCGATCCGAAACGACAGGAGATAGTGGACCGTACAGTGATAAGCAGTGTCCGTGGCACCGACACCAACATCGCGTTTATCACCCCAGTCTACGCCTCTCCAGAGGCCCCCCTGACCAAGCCAAACATCTCTCACTAACCCAAGGTCGTGTAAACCGTGAACGCAGCTCTCTCCGTGACATCTCAAGTCACATATAAAAAGCGGAATAACGGACCACCCTTCTCGTCACGCCTACACCGACTTTCGCCGGAGAAACTGAAACAAGGTAGACTTTAAGCGCATGCTGGGACTCCTAATAATCTGCTCTATCGACGGCCTTTGGTCCTCTTCCTTTCAAACGGTATTAAAACAATCTGGAGATTGATGTTCTTGCGGTGACTACTGGGCACTCAATAAACTTAAGGTGCCCGACAGGTACCCTATCTACCTGTGAATGATCAAAGAGGAACCTACTCCAGCTGAACGCAGCTAGGTGTCAAATAGTTCATTTGCGTGATCATCAGACAAGGTTTACAAGTCTGGAAGCGAGGTCTTGCAGTCTCCGAGGAGCTGGACCTCGAGATACTGCTACATGGCGAACTCGACTGCTCCAGACAATACGAAAAACCGTCGAAAATCGGTAATCAGCATGTCGCTTGAGTATTTCCACAAATGACTAACGCCTACGCGCGTGCCCACGCAGAATATAACACTCATGCGTGGCAGCCTTGGCTGGAGAATGATCACGCGGTTTTCGAGACTCCATTATACATAGCGGACAATACCGGCTCCTACGGATGGATCTCATAATGAATTAGCAAATCCTAAAGAATGCAGATCACCTTTACCGAACCTTCTGGCAACCCGGTCAACGCCAACCTGAGGTCATCAACCAGTTAGCAACATAGTATGGCCTGCTGGAATGCAGCCGTACTTTGTGCTCTCTTCGAGTATGCTATCCTTCGGACGCCCTTCACTTGGTATGTTAATCCTACCCTAGACGCCTTGCCAATTCATAATATCATTTACATTTCACTACATAACTGAAGTTAGCTATAAAACGCAACCAAACGGTATAAGCCCTTATTCAAATCAGGTGGAATTATGATTTTTAACATGCTAACATCTTGGTGAGTTCGCCAGTCCACTCTCAGGTTTGATGATGTTATTCGCTATTTTCGTCTCGACCATTTCACGGGTCCTGTTAAGCGGCAAATTGCTGCCCATCATGTGCAATTGTTCCATCCACACATGCAGGACCTCACTACATGATTGGTACCTATCATCAGATACTTGTTGACAAAACGGCATATCCAAAACAACTGTCACCATTACTTTCGGCATGTTCGAATTTTAAGTGCTATTCGGTTTGTGCAACGCTGAATAAAAGCTTTAAAAGCTTCATCCGCTTCACTTGAAGCCTAGACTTCGCTTGCCCCTACCATGTAGTGAGTTCATCCGAAGAACACCAGGCTCATCCCCACCTCTACTAGCGGTTGATCTAACAAAGCGTCACCGTTAACCCGACTGTGTGAAATTGGCAAGTCCAAGGTGGAATTTTTAGGCCGCCTTACATCATGGTCTGGTACAGATTTCCTTGCAGATATGATCCACAATATTAATGGTACCCAGCCCCGACTTCATTCAAGCATCTCTGCTGATTCTGTGGTCCGATCAGCTACCATCCACACTTCGTCCTCCACTACGCTCAACTCATGCAGCCCGATTGAGGTTCTTAGAGGAAACGAGCGTAAGTTCGTTTTTCGTGACATATCACACACGGTTTTCACTCAGAATGGATCAACAGTCCATCTGTCTCAGCTATGGTATCACTAACTGGTTTTCGCGGACCCGTGGTCTGGATGGGCTGGTATAGCGCCCGGCTGCTTCCAATAACACTGGCTTACTAAATCTCACGGGCCTCTGCAATCCACCAACATTCTCGGTCAATCCGAAGACTGATTAGGAGACGCCATTTCCGAAAGTTACGGATACCCTGAAACTTAGTGTCCATCGAAAAGGGTTTACGCACTTCGATCAGGCTGATCGACGTTACAGAGATCCACTCACAGTTACGATGTCTCAAGTCGGGTGCACAGGGAACGTCAAGAAGATTCTTCAGGGCAGACTTAAGACCAACCCAGTCAGCGTTCGGCTCACCAACCTCATTCATCAGTTGGTAGGTCAGTTCGATATGATATGGTTGAACCGTAGACTGCGAGTTAAAGTTACAATTAAGGTTAGATAAGCGCCTCTTTCGAGTGGGAAGAGTGAGCGCCAAGCGTGCGCGAACTAGAGCATAATCGGAATCCATACATGCGCTCCAAATTGACCTACAGTCTTAGACTGTTGTGCGCTACCTATAACTGATAGCAATATGGTCCATTTGGATCCAGGTCATTGAAGAATTCAGTGGGCACCAGGTGAAGCGGTGTAAACGTTTGCGCTGAAAAGCAGTGCATCCAACATGAAAGTTTTGGTCAGGCGAATAGCTGCCGGAATCGATCACCAGTGTCTGTTCGGCGTGCACCGACTCCGAAGCGCAATCACAGATGTTATTCAGAATCTGAAAGACGACCAATTGGACATCCAAGTCACCAGCAACAATCACGATGTCAGTAATCTTTGCCATGCGCAGAAAAGATGAACGATAGTTGTGACACCCTCTGAACTGCAGTCAGTAGGAGCATAAACGGAGACGATGAAAAGGCACCCTGGCTTCATACGGTGCTTAGTAACCTCAAGAGCTTCGAAGTTGGTCCGCACGCATGCGGCTGTTCATCGGTATCCAGTCGAGTAGATTACCTTCAACACGTCTGCTGAAAGCAATACCAACACCGTAAACACCTTGAGCCATTGACTCGGTATCGCCAGACACGCGATGAGTGTAGTCATGATCGTCAGATTCAGAATCAGGGAGTCGAAGACTCCACACAACGCTGTTGTCTTGTATGCGTGTTTCGGAGACACAGATACATCAACACCAAAAGAGTAAGATTCAGTGCTGCCTGCTGACCGAGAGTGTGGACGTTAAAGGAACCAATGTGAAATGAAGTCTAGGTTTAATGGAAGAGCTGCGTGTATCCATGGCAGCAGCAGCGAGGTCAGTCGCAGTATCTTGCTCAATAGACACGGAAATAACGACAAAGGGAGTGGTGTCAACGTAATCCAGAGAGCTGCTCATTCCGACAGGGGTTTTGTTCGAGGTTCCCAGCCTCTAGCCTTCAACCCAAAAGTCTGACTCACAAGGCAGTGAGGGATTTGAAGGTTCGCTTGAGGGACTCCACTCGGAGCCGTTGGCTCAATAGCCTGATCCACAAGGTAGTGGGGAGCAAGTCCCACCCCGGCAGTGTGATTGCAGAGACTCATTGGGATACGCTCGAGGCCTGTCACACACAGCCTTTGAAGAGTTGAAAAACTCCACATGGGTTCTGCGACCATTTTACGTTACACACCTGCGAGCACGGCCAGTCACAAATGGGAGTTGGCGGCTTTGCACCAATTTGATCAAGTGTTGCCTGGCTTGACACGAGCGGTGGCAAACCATGGAGTAACCGAAAGTGCCCTCCCACCGTCAGAGAATGGGTGGCGCTCGTGTTCTGCGCCAATCAAGCTGTCAGCTTATAGCCGGTAGACGTGTTGTCGTTAATAGCTAGGGACAGCGACCTCTCCTTAACTTCCAAGGAGGATTGCATTGTGAGACTGAGTTAGTCTGACTTTTAACCATTGACCTGTCTGGTATAAATGGCTCCGAAGGCACTTGGAAAGTGCCACCCAGCATGGCACAATGGGTCACGGGAGTACCCAAACCATCGCACCACGCTAAAATTCAGTCTCGGTGTAATAGTTATCCTAAATATACTATCTGATGAACATTTTTTTTGGTTTGTCTTGTTAGTGTTTTTGGGCCATATTACTTCCGACCAAACTAGGTGTAGTCAATTACAAGGAAGCCTTCCTAGGGACAGTTTTACAGCTTAGTGACACTTTCTCAAATCCAAATGTGGATCTTATGAGCCTATTAAGCAGGAGATTGAGACCCGACTGAAGTAAACAGCGAGAACGTGAATCAATTAGCTATCTAGGCGATAAGAGGCCTTTCCACCTACTAGATTAGATGAAGAGGTTTCTCGCCTCGTATTCCATGGATGATCCATCCGTCCGGAATTCTGGTTGCAGCACAAACCTTACTCAATTTATTACCCAGCGCCTTAAAGACAGATTACCGGCGAAATCCGACTCGTATGTGATATCTCAATTTACTTGTGGTGCTAAGTACCTCGGAAATACGACCAGGCATCTATCGATAAGGATAACTGAGAACTGTCCTGGGTCTCTAAGGAAAGGCACCGCCAGAAGTATCAGAAGTGCCATCCTTGAAGATCTGGTTCAAAATGGACATGGAATTCCGATCAATGACGCTATGAATGTTTTACACACCGTGACAAAACGATATCCTAGAGATTAGGAGATGCCTAGTTAACATTGCGAAATTGAAAGCGATCAAATTAACGCAACCGTAGCGTTGCAAGCAGGCGATGCTACTGCAATGTCTCACGCTACTGTGGCCGTGATGAAGATCTATCCGCATGGAACATTGAGGAGACCGAGGATGGCACAACTTCGCAGCTGATACAAATTGCTTCGCAGGCTGCCTTGCCGAATAACCTTCTCGTGGTGCCAGCTGGGTGGTTCGGGTTTTTCCCGTTACAGCAAATGGTTCGGCGGCAAGGTTCCAGGACGTTCATCCTATAAAGAGCCACAAATGTCTGTTTAAAAACACTGCGAGGTGGCGGATGCGACTCGCCATTAAATAAAATCACTGCTATTGGCCTTTGCTGAGGCAGGTACTTCAAGGGTGCGTTGGACCCCTGGTACTTCACGGACCGAAAGGCGCATGAACCGTCTATTTGGTCACCAGGTCCCAACGGATTGCGACGCCCTCACATCACCCTGCTGCTTTGTAAGTTAGATCTTTGATCATAGGCTCGGGGTAGGGCCCCCTAAGACAACCCTCTACTTCGGCCTGGGCAACCGGGTAGTATCACGCCCACTGACGAATCATGGACCACACTGCTTTCTACTGCCCCTGCTATGTTTATCTTCTATGCCAACGCAACTGCTCAACCTCCACTCACAGATCACCCCACCTCCTTTCCTTCACCTATATGTACTTTTATGTCTTCTTCAGTCACTGTCACAAACAACCAACGTCTCGCAAATGATGGAAGTAACAGCCAAACTCCTGGTTTTCAATGTCCTGCGATTGCAACCACCTCTCACTCCACCGAAGCTCCAGCTCTTCTTCGACCTGGTTCTCCATTCATCCTTGCAGCGTTTGCTGTTCGAACTTTGATGCAGATAGGAAGAAAAAGCATGTCCGCGCCGTACTCTTGAAACGCTCTCGGTAGACATCTGTTGCCTTTCAGAGACCAGATTACAAGACTCCAGTGCTGTCATCAGAATGATCTCTCCGGTAAAGCCTGACGCCAAATATCACTTGCGGCTTTCCGGAGACCCAGAAGCTACCGCTTCTGCCCAAGCTGGTGTTGGGGTTGCACTGAGTGCCAGGGCTGAATCAGCCCTGCTTGACTGGATCCCAGTCAACAGTCAGCTGTGCAGTCAGACTACGAAGTTCATGAAACGTAAGCAGGCGTCGAGACGTTAAGTGTGCTTTGTTTGTCGTCTCCACCTACGCTCCTACAGACTGCAGCCCGGATGCAGTCTAGGATAGTTTTTACCAGCAGCTACATGAACTTCTGCCTTCCTCCGAAAGGACTGATATAATCATTCTTGTCGGGAACTTAACGCAGGGGTGGGCCGCCTTCCAGCAAGCAAGCACTACCGTGGGGGTAGTTTTTGGCCTCGGTGGCAATCGATCAGACGATGGAGACAGACTGCATACTCTGATCATCGCTTGTATGTTTCACTGGTTTTCGGTACTCGAGGAGACACACTGCTACCTGGCGCCCGCTCTCACAGACGCAAGAATGCTTCCAGTTTGATCACATAGCAATCAGCCACAGATGGCGCGGAAGCGTAACGGACTGCCGATCGTACTAGTCAACTTATCTAGACTCCACGCATTGGTTCGTGCTAAGATTTACATGCGTTTCAGGGGATCATCCAAGCGCGCTCACTACCGACCGGACGTCGCAAATCTAAAAGCCCTGCGATTTTTAACCAGGTACCAAGCCTCAGTGTCAACCTTTCTTGCCTCAACTATTGGTAGTGATCTCGACTCGCAGTGGGCGCAGATCAAAGATGCTTTCGTTTCCGCCAGTATCGACACCTGTGGAGTTGCGCGTTACCCACCGATGCATTGGATTTTCGCCGTCTCCTCGTCGATGATGGACAAACACCGCTTGATCCCGTCGGATTCCAGACACAGCGAACAACGCCAATCCCTGGGTCGAGAGTTGCGCAGGAGTCTACAAATGGACTGCGAAGCTTGGTGGTGTGAACGTGCTTGGGAAATGGAGATTGCTAGCCCCTCTTGTAATACCAGAAAACTTTTCCATCTCATTCGAGTCACCGAGGATGTTCGATCTGGTATAAATGAAACAATATACGAAGAGGATGGCATCCTAATCACCAACCTTCAACGACGGTTGGAGCGATAGGTCAAACATATTGGCGTGCAGTTTTGTTGCCACACCCCCAGCTCCATCTGGCGCTCAAGCTGGAGCCGAGTGGTATACACCCACAGATCCTCCCTCTTACCAGGTACTCGAGCGGGAGCTCCGCCACATGAAGCATTATAAAGCGCCCGGCCCTGATGGTCTTCCTCCAGCTCTATGGTGGCGCTTCGCTGGTTCGAGAACTCACCACTTTGTTCTCGAAAGTTTGGTCAAAATAGAAAGTTCTATCATCTTGGGGTGAATCGATAGACGTTCCCATCTTCAAAAAGGACCTGCACACAATCTGCTCCAACTACAGAGGCATAAGCTTAGTCCCCGTCGTTTGCGAGCTGCTGGTGTCCATCATACTTCGCAGGCTCACCCCAACGCGCGAATCGTTGCAACGAGAAGAACAAGCTGGGTTTCGCCCTAGTCGCGGTTGAATCGATCAAATCTTCACAATCCGCCAAATCCTTCTTTGCCATGTGCATCAGAGGCCAACGATTGCTGCGTTCCTGGATATCAGTACAGCCTTCGATTTTGTCGATCGTACGGTACAGTGGCACTGCCTACTGAAGAATGGTGTCCCCGAGAAGTTCCTCTCCATACTGCGCACTCTATATAGTCTGACCTCGGGCAAGGTTAGAACTTATGGCAAGCTTTCGCCTACCTTTGTGGTCTCCAGTGGAGTTCGACAAGGATTCCCTATATCTTCGTTCCTATTCAACTTTGCCATTTAGGATGTCCTGAAGAACGCTCTGAGCGATTCGTTGAACGCTGGCGTTGAGCTCCTCCCAGGTAGTCGAGTTGTTGATTTAAATTATGCTGATGATATCGTCTTGCTGGGTGACGATCCACAGGTCGTCCAACTTGCATTAAACCGCTTGGCGATTGAAGCATCAAAGTACGGTATGTACTTTTCGCCATCCAAATGCAAGGCTCTCCTTCAAGATTGGCAGGTGCCTTTGCCTGCACCCACTCTTGGTGGTGAGACACTAGAGGTTGTGGACAGCTTTGTCTACTCGGGAAGTTGCATCACTGCTGGCGGGGCTGTTGGAGACGAGATTTCGATACGCATCTCGAGAGCAGGCCTCGCTTTTTTATGCTGAGGCACTTGTGGCGTCGCCAAGACATTCGTCTCGCCATCAAAGGGCGGGTCTATTGTGCAACTGTTCGTGCTTTACTGTTGTACGGATGCGAGACCTGGCCCATTCGTAAAGATGACTTGCGCAGGCTATCCGCCTTCGAGCACCGCTGTCTGCGGTCCATTGCCCGCGTGTGGTGGCAGCACCAAGTAAGCGATGTGGAAGACAGTGTGTCTTGGGACGTGGAAGCAACTCGCTCGAGGAGCTCGTCTCACTGCATCAACTGCGGTTGTTGGGACACGTATTGCGCATGCCTGTCCAGCGTTACCCGCGTCGTGCGTTGTTTGCACTTGCTGGACAGGGCTGGAAGAGACGGTCTGGTGGACAGCCTACAACATGGAGAAGCCGCATGAAAAAGTTGACGAAACAGTTGGCCTCCACCGGTTGTTGTCGACTACCTGGTTAAAGGCCGAGGGATGGGGATACTTGCTGGTTGAAGACCGTGGAAGTCAACGGCTCAAGATCGATGTCAATGGCAGACGTGTGCATCGGTGCACCTGCTTCCTCCCCCTAAATAAAACAAACTGAAAAAGTTCAAAAACTGTAAGTGGTAAACTGGACAAGAAAACTCATGTTGTTGTTTTGTTATTTTCTCATTATTCATACTGTTTTCTTAAGCAGTCGTGATTCCGATAGCACAATACCTGTACCACAGATTGTGAATATATATATATATATATATATATATATATATATATATATATATATATGATTTGGCGGCGTACGTATCCAGATTTGCCTGTCACTGTGACGTCCATGGGGACAGTCACAGGACGCCTGCGCCTATATACATACATACATACCTATATGTATATATGCTTCGAATTGGTCAGCGAGCTGTCAAGTGAGGTCGGATAAGGCCCGTTCGACAACAGACTAACACTTGGCCCGATCAATTTAAGTCCTGTGCGAATAATTTCAGACTCTCTTCTACTTTCATATCGGCTTACATTAACTTATGCTTATCCAAATTATCCTTGTAAAGAAATTTGCGTGATGTTAGTCACCGAAGAGATCACCATGCAGCCGTGTTTTCTTACATACCCGAAAATGTTCAGGCTATCATCATATCAGCCAAAATTTATCCCCTTACTCTAACTGCACAAATGGCTGATGCAATCAAGAACCATCTTTCTAAACAATTAGATTGCGTAAGCCACCTGCTACATTCTCGCCCATCTAATGCGTCCCAGCATCCACCTACTCCATGCAGGGTATAGTTCGAAACCATGAGCTTACCGTAGTAGTCAATGTACTAGAGGCATTACGCAGCGATCTCGACTCTCCCTCAACATTTGGTAACTCCCCGGTACCTAAAAGCAAATCAGCCAAGCCTAGCAGCCTATCACGCAACAAACTATGCTGGTATCACAGCCGATTTGGCCCACAAGAGAAGCAATGCACTACGCACTGCACCTCTTCCCCCAAACCAATTTGAAAAACTCTCGGGCCGCATGTCACGTACCAATAACGTCACCGGCCACGGCTCCGGCATTGGCCTGTTTGAAGACAGGACTTCAAATTTGGAACCGCGTCCCGGGTTGATACTGTGGCTGAAGTACGGGTGGTTTTCCTCGCGCCTGGGGAGCCGACTCAGCCGGTAACTTTCAGCCACCTACGGCCAACACAGTACCGACACGGGCTGAGATACTGCGAGGGTCGCTTGCCTCTGCGCAGACACGAACCCGCGCCGTCAGATGACGAGACAAGCTCAGCAGCTTTTGCCTACGGGCCGTAGAACATTTCTATGAATGTTCACTATTGTCGCCGTTCCGTTTGCCATCATCGGTAGACATTCTCAGGTATTTCGACCACTTGATCGAGCCGAAATGACAGGATATAGGCGATACTCAATGTCCATGGCACCAACACCGACATCGCGTCTAGCATCCCAGTCTATTCTTTTCCACAGACCTCTCCCAACCAAGCCAAACGTCTCTCACTAATACAAGCTCGTGTAGACCGCAAACGCCGCTCCCACGTGACATATCAAACCACATCAAAACCGGTCTCAACTCCCCCCGTCTCATCATCTCCGCACCGACTTTCGCCGGAGAACTGAAGACAGTGTTCGAGTACATGCTCGAAGTTGAGATAATCCGTGTTTCAGACAGCCCTTGGTCCACACCATTCCATATGGTCCAAAAATGCAGGAGTCTGGTGTCATTGTAGTGACTAGCAGGATCTACACAGATTTACGGTCCCTGGCAGGTACCACAACCCACACGTGCAGGATATTACTACCATCTTCACAGGTAAGACGGGCCTTAGCAAAGTCGACTTTGTTGCTGCCTACCACCAGATCCCTGTCGAGGAAATAGACATACCTAATACAGCCGTCATAATCTTCTTTGGTTTGTTCGACCTTTTAAGAACGTCATTTGGCTTGTGCAGCGCCTTGCAAGGTTTCATCTGCTTCACTCGTGGCCTAGACTGCGTCCACCCCTACCTCGACGACAATTTCGTAGCCAGGTCACCCGACAAAGAGAACCCAGCTTATCTACAACCACTCTCTTCAAAGTTAATATAACTAAGTGCGAAGTTGGCAAGTCAACCGTAGAATTCCTGTGCCACCTCGTCTGGTATCGAGTTAATCGGAGACAAGATTGAGGCTATTAAAGACTTCTTGGCTTCGGCTTGAAGGAAGTACGTGCGCGGATCTTGTGGTCTAATCAACTACTATCGACGCCTCATTCCCAGTTGCACAAAACTCGTGCAGCCACTGACTAACCTCA